AAAAAAAAAAAACAAACTAGAGTTTATCTCATGAATTTGTCTAGTAAACTTTTCACAAAAACTCCTTAATTATTTAACTTATCAACTAATTTTATCGCACTTTTGCCATAAGTTATAGTATATTTATTCATTTATTATTGCATTGGGCTAATAATACCAACTTTTTTATTTATTTATTTATTTTTCATTTTTATTTTTGTTCCTACCAACTTATACATTCACGCTTGTGTTATTGCAAGGGTAATTGTTATTTTAGTACCTGTATTATGGGCTAATTGTGATTTTGGTACCTATCCTTTATTTATTGCGAAAATACAACCCAACCTTTACGTTTTCTGCGAATTTGGTACCTATTCTTTATTAATGGCTAAAATACAACCCAACCTTTACATTTTTTGCTAATTTAGTACCTAATAATTTTTTTGTACCTAATAATACAAATAAAATATCTTTATTTTGGTTTTTTTGATGTAAATCATAAAATTGTTATTTGTATTATAATGAATGATACTAATAAAATACTATATAAATCATAAAATTAAAAATAAAAATAAGATAAATTATAATAAAATATTATAAAATAAAAATTTAGTGAAAGGCAGTAAAATGATTTAAAGTAATTTTTAATAAATTAAAAAATTAAAATATATGTACTTTTAATAAAAATAACGTGTAAGAAATAAAAATTAACAAGTAAAAATATATATAAATAAAATAAAATTACATTAAATCAAATTAAATTTTGTTAAAATGATATAAAATAAATTTTTTCTTTTATAATTTATTTGAAAAGTAATACTTTTTTAAAATATTTTTCTTAATAATTATATATAGTTTTTTTTACAGAATCTCTAAATGTAATTTTAATAATATTGAAAATGCAGTTCATTTACCTAATATTAAAAAAATTGTATGTATCTTCATTTCTTCAGGAATTTTGTTGTTAAGGTAAATACAAAAAAGAGAAATATTTTTTCTCTTGAATTTTCATAGGAGATACTATGATTTTTTAAATCATGGTTGCATTTCATTGATATTTAAATATGCCCATTCAATTTAAATATGGTTATTAATAATTATATATAGTTTTTTTACACAATCTCTAAATGTAATTTTAATAATATTGAAAATGCAGTTCATTTTATTTGTATCATTCATTATAATACAAATAACAATTTTATGATTTACATCAAAAAAACCAAAATAAAGATATTTTATTTGTATTATTAGGTACAAAAAAATTATTAGGTACTAAATTCGCAAAAAATGTAAAGGTTGAGTTGTATTTTAGCCATTAATAAAGAATAGGTACCAAATTTGCAAAAAAGTAAAGGTTGGGTTGTATTTTTGCAATAAATAAATGATAGGTACCAAAATCACAATTAGCCCATAGTATAGGTACTAAAATAACAATTACCTTATTGCAATTACCAGTCTTGAGAATTTCGCGGTGGTCTCTCTTTGAGCCCTTCAAGCTCGTGTATTTGCATTTCTATGTAAATTCCATCTTTTTTATTTCCTTTCTTTTACATGCTCGTCTTGTTCAGGGTTCTACGGATCGATCGAAAGCTTTTCGGTCTTGTTCAGGGTTCTACGGATCGATCGAAAGCTTTTCGGATTAGGGTAAGATACTTCATTTTTCTAACTTCTTGCCAAGTTTTGCTCTTTTTCCCCCTTTTTCTTTTTACTGATTATCTCAATTCCCAGCTTTCGTAACAGGTAAAAGATTCTACTTTTTCTTCATATTCAGTTTGAATCCTTGATTATGATCATGCTTTTTTGTACGGTTTGATGAAATTTTGAAATGGGTTCTGTTTATTTTTTTCTGGAGCTTCATTGTTGTTTGATTTTTGATTGTACACCATTTTTGCGGCGGAAAGATGCGATTTTTATGCTGTCAAATGGATCGAATTTATTTTGGGGGTTATCTTTTTGGTTGTTGTTTGAACTTTGCACAGTTTTTGTTTAGTCTGATGAGGTGCTGGTTAGTATTTGTTACTGGCAAATTAAACATCATTTTGGCAATATGGATTCTAGATTTTGTGAAATCTTATAAAATGCAGCCCATCTGATTCTTGAATTGTTTTTGGGTTCGCAATTTGTGAACCGTGCACGTTTTCTTCTCTGTCGAGAATGCTGATAAAAGTTTGTGGAGAGTGAACCTTGATTTTTTCTACAATATTTGCTTCTAGCTAATTGAAAAAGATTTTGGTAATACAGATACTACATAAACATGTTGGTTAGACAGAATTTTTCGTGTAAGGTGTGGAAATATTCAAAAAATCTGTATAACAAGTACATTTTGCAGCTCGTTTGGATCGTGGGTTATGAACGTTTGTGATATAAAATGCTAGCTTTGATTATTATGTTCTTTTGTAAGTTTTTGGAGATTTATTTCGAATCCATAAATCCTAACTATTGAATTTGCTCATATTGTATTCATATTAAACTTTAAGGATTTGTACCATTTACCTATGTTTTGTCTAAAACACTTTCCCCTTCTAAAATATAACTATTAAACTCTATTGTTTGCCATGCCTATTCTAGTCAAGATATGTATCTTTCGAAAGATACAACTTGTTTATTTGGTGCTAACTTTGTCTTTTCATGAGTGTCTGTTCTCTCAATTTTATGAAAAACTGGTTTTGTCAATGAAAGCTTATAATAATGAGGGTATCAACTGCAGGAAAATTTAGCTGGAAAATGAAGGGACCTAATGTGGTTAAGGAGATAGTAATCGGAATTGCACTCGGCGTAGCTGCCGGTACAGTTTGGAAAATGAACCACTGGAACGAGCAACGGAGGATCAGGGCATTTTACGACCTTTTAGATAAAGGTGAAATCTCTGTGCTTGCCAAAGATTAAACATTCAGTATTTTATTTTTAGTTTTTTTTTTTATTTTTAGATTATTTGCATCCTAATAATTTCTTGGAATACATCATGAGGTTTTCTTTACCTTAGATGAACAAATAAGCTGCTGAAAGGAGTTTTTGGCTTGGTAACTATTTGAGGATTGAATTTGACTTTGCCTTTACTAGAGCATATTTTGGTTAAACGAAAGTATTTGTGACAAAAGTATGTCTGCCTAACGGTAATAGAGAATTCGAAAAATGTATTATTGCACTCAATTTTATACTCTTTCTTGCACTTCAACCTTGAGAAAAAGAGTGTACAAAATATCTCAAAAGTGAGGAGAAAGTACATATTTGATTTATGGATATGGCATGAATATTGAATTTTATAAATAGTTTTTTTAAACCCGTTTTATATTTATTTTTTCAAAATAGATTTTTCAAACCTATGTGAGACAAATATGCTAAAAAGTAAAAATCTAAAATATTATCTCATATTATCATATTTTACTTTATATCATTCACTTCGTGCTTTTAATATTAGCTAAACAATATCCTATGTTAATATTTTTAAATTTTTATAAAATGCATGGTTATGATCATAATGATTTTTGTAATCAACAATTCACACATCATCTCACTAGTTTATCCTTTCAAAATCATACATTTTAGTCATCAAATTTTTAAGTAACAACATTTAATAGCATAATTAACTAAGCATATTTTACTTTACAGTACAACGGGATGACCCACCTAACATTTAAACTGTCACACACAAGAATTTGTGTTAATTCGTCCAGTATTAATTATTGCACACAAACTAAGAGTTCATAGATATAAAAAAAAAAAAAAATACATATTTATTTATTAAAGTGAGGAGAAAATTGGAACTCCTGGGAGACTAACACCGGAATCAACGATGAACACATTGCCCGTAACGTAGCTCGATGAATCGTGAAGTAAGTAACGAATATGGGATGTTAATCCCGGGTTGGATTTTACGACAGTCTGTAATGGTGTAATCTTCATCCCGACATTATGCAGCCACGGTTGGTTAATGAGTTTTTCGGTTATCTCGGATTTGAACAGCCCTGGTGCAATGCAGTTGACCCTAATGTTGAAGCTGCCCAATTCTAATGCCATTATCTGTTACAACCATATTACATATGCAGTTAAGTAGTAGCAACATATATATCACTAATATTGGGTGAAATATTCATGCATAAATCATAGTTTTTACCCGGCCCGGTAATTGACCCGGGCAGGTCTCCGGGTTACCGGTTCAACAGTCGGGTTACCAGTTCAACTGTCGGGACACCAGTTCAACCGTCGGGTCACCGGGTCAATTGCTGACCCGGTTAAAAGTATTTTGTCATATAAATATACATAAAAGTAACAAAATTAAATTGTATGTAAAATTTGTAGATTAAAGTGGTAATAATATGTATTTCGTGATAAATATTTACCATATAAATATATATATACATAGTTTTATTTTAAAAAATATAAAAATATATATAGGGACCGAGTCAACCGGGTTGACCAACCGGGTCAATGCCCCGGGTTTACCGGGTCAAGGCCGGGTTGGCCAGGTTTTGACCGGGTCTTTTGTTACCCGGTCCAAATAGCCCACTCGGACCTATTCCAGCTCCGGGTCGATCGGGTTGAAAAACACCCCCATAAATTGTTTTATGGGGTAGACTTAATTATCATAACAGTTACAGTTTTATCCTATTGTAATTATACCTTTTTTTTGGCAAATCATGAATATAGCAGTCTAACAACAACATTTATGACGTAGAATATAGGTTTTAAATGTTATGTACTTACGGATTGGGCTATAGAGTAATGTTCACCTACCCATGGTGGACACATGTTACTATGCCCACCGTTTATGTGGCATGCGCACATTGGTGATGTTAATATGTTCAAAAAAATACACAATCAATGTGTGCATGCCACATAAGTGGTGGCATATTAACATGTGTCCACTGTGGGTAGGTGAGCATTACTCTATGACAATATATGTTTTTCCCCCAATGTGTGTGTGTGTGTGTGTGTTTTTTTTTTAAGTTGTAATATATTTATGCAATTAATCCCTTAATTTGTATGGTTCTAAAATTTATGAACCATATATAGATATATGACCTTAGTCATGGCATGTAAGGCAGCTTTGGAGGAACCATAGGCCACCGCACCATAGAATTGTGCTCGACCGAGTCCAGTAATCGACGAGATGTTGATAATCGAGCCTGCTCGCCCTGCGGCTCGTATTCGTGCTGCCACACAATTGGCCACCAACCAAGATCCGGTCAAGTTTGTTTTCACAACTTTCTCCCATTCCTCTTCCGAGAGCTGCAATGTCATCTTCTGTTGCCCTAGTTTTCGACCACAAGATGTAAGTACTTGTTGATAATTAGCAAGAAAATATTTTGTTTGTGGATATAATGAATGCCACAATTTGAAATCAAAATTGTAAATTATTTATTCCATCTAATACAAAAAGGTGTTTGTTTAATTTAACTCCACATGATGATAATAATAGCTAGATATGTTATTAGAAAATCCATATCAAACACTAGTAAATTAGTCAAACCTACCTCTTATACCAGCATTGTTAATCAAAGCATCAATGTGCCCAAACGCGTCCCAAGCTTTCTGGACAGACCTTTCTATCGACTGACCGTCTGACGAGATATCCAGCTCCAGTGCCACAGCACGATCCAATAAGTCGTCATAGCTAACGTCTTTATCAAGAATGTCGTTCGTTTGGTTGATTTGTTCACATAGAGACTTAAGCCTATCCATTCTACGTGCAGCCGCCACAATTCTGCAACCGGCCTTGGCCAAGTCGAGACAAAGTTCGAAGCCGAGTCCAGAAGATGCACCGGTCACAAGCACAATTTTTCCGTGTAGGTGAGACCATGGCTCAAGTCGATTTTCGACTTGACCATTTGTCATTTTCTTTTTCCTTTTTTTTTTTTTGTTTGTGAGTGTGTGTTGAATTAGTTTTATGCATTTGGCTATTATTTATAGCCAATATATGTGAAAGTTTAGGTTTGAGGTACAAGTAGGCAGCGGGGATGGACCATGCATCAACTAATTGAAGTTGGGGGTGTCACGTTTAATAAGAAAATTCGGTCCATATTCAAAATCTAACTAAGTTTTATCATAATTTCACTATATTTTTGATATTTTTCATATAATTAAACAATATCAATCATTATTACATACCATATCAACTTTAATTCACTATTCACTAACTCACATAATTTTAACTAACAATCACTTTACATTATTTCTCTCATATTTTTACATAAAATCGACTTTAATTATTTTATTTTAAATTTTAATTTAATATAAATTCAAAATGAATTTCTTAACCCCATTTTTTGTACATGTGTTTGAACATAACTTATACGTATGAAGTTTGATTATTGAAATTAATTACCCACACATATATATAATTGTAGCTAAGAATATAATGCAAAAATATTTTTTTTTTTCTGTTCATTTGTCAACTTTTTTAAAGAATCATTACATATTTCAGTAATCAAATAATCATGTTTTTATTTATTTTATTACATAACAACTAATATTAGCTAATCATAAATTAATTTTATGGCGTTATCACTTTTTTAAAATCGAAATATTTTATGGTATAATCATTTTATTGCATAAATCATAAAGTCGAAGTGAATGATATATGGATATTATATGCATATCAAGAATCCTGTTGTAATTTTTTAAAACTATTTTTATAAAAATATTATTATTATTATCTCTTTTTCAGCTCATTATGTTTTTTTTTAACTAAAAAATAGTTAATTATTTTTCATGATATAATCAAACCATTAAAAATTATACACGGAATTACTTAATTTTAATATTTTTTATTTAATTAATTGAGTATAATTACTCCAAATTACAAAAAAAAATTACATTATTACAATCTATATAGTGATTCCTATGTAAGCTAAATAGTTTATTTTTATGAATAATAAAATTAAAAAAAAAATGTGATACATTCATTATCCAGCATATGATTTTAAATAATATATACCCATTAACATAATTCATAAAATTTTATTTGTATTTGTTTATGTAGACATGATCGAACTAATAATTTGAATAATAGTGTGAGCCATAATTAATTATATCCTTGAGAAAACGTTAGGTATGCCTTGTATAAAACTGGTTAAAGCTAATATAATTGCTATACTATAGACATTAATGATCATTTCCTATTGTTTATTGCTGACAAATTCCAAAATTTCTTATTAATTACATAATCGTCTTAAATTGGCAACCAATGAACCTATAAGCACTTCTTGTATTAATGCAATTTAGGCCGCCTAACATAAATTATGATTTATAATTTAAGTAAAAAAATGATTAAAAAAACGTGTATAGATAAAATAAATTTAGAATTAAATTTTGATTATTATATTTAAAAATATACTTTAATAAATATATCAATAGTGGTAGATGAACTGTGTTCACTATTACCATCACTTCACTAATAATAATCATTAGACAATAGGGATTTGTAACTCTATAAACAATACCAACATATTAATATACTAGATGGTTTTCGGCTGTGCACGCACAGCCGGCCAAAATTTAGTTATTACTCTTGCGAACATTTGGTGTTTATTAAACACATGTATAGGAGACTCTAGTTCAACAACAATAAAAATGAAAATTTAAATACCAACAAAGCTAAAATGATAACCAGCAAAATAGGGAAGATAAAAAAAAATTAATAAACAGAAACGGATCAAAGGAAAAGAACGAATTCCAATTTCATATTCGTCGTAATCTGGTGGTTAAATGAAGAAAGTCTCCCAGGTCCAATCTTCCTGGAATCCAGGACCGTAGGCACGTCCCTGCTCAGTCAAGGCCCAAAATCAATATCCCGCCACGTCCCTGCTTATCACTAAAGTAAGCATTGAGAGAAGGTGACAAAAAAAAAAGAACAAAAAAAAAAGCTCATTTATCCTTATTCCATGCCCATTTTCTTTATCAAAAATCAGTAAATTTGGCGAAGGGGTACCAAAGATATAGAAGTCAGAAACTATTTCCCAGAGAAGAATGGAAAACATAAAAGGAAAAAGAGCAAGAAATAAGGATGTAAAAGTACAATAGCAAATGACAAACTCGATGACCATGCACATAGGGAGGTACAACATTTATAGTCAACAAAGACCTTAATCTGAATACCATGGTTGTGTTACTCACCCAGTGTTACTCAACCAGGGAAGAAAGAAAGTGAATGACTAAAAGTCTAAGTTAGGTTTCTAAGCATGTATAAGTGTAAAAGAAGAAGAACCACGAAAAAATAAAGACATGGAGGAAGTACATTTGACAAACATAATTGAAACTTCCAACAGCAACTACTTTCCCTGAGCTTACTAATCGCAGTTAACCCCATGATCATGTCTACAATCATTTCATAACTTTTGGCATAATCCATTATTGAACAACCATAAACATTTTCTAGTCCCACAAAAATCCTAAATGAGAAGACTGCCGGCCAAGATGGCCAACATATGTCACAACTCTTGCACTAATAAACATATTAGTCGACACAAGTGAAAAAAAGTAGCTATTTTCATAATTTCAAATAGCTATGATTTTTGTGGGTCCGACTATCAACAATAAATATTATGTATTATGATTTATAATCGTACTCAAGAATGTGGTTTCATAAACACACAAATTTTCCCAAACTTAAAATCAAACAACACAAATAAAAATAAAAATGATAATCGAAAACATTCAATAAAAAATGCCCACCATGCAATGCACTGTGCAAATTCTCATTCGGAACATAAGTCGAAATCAACAATTTCTACTCTTTAATATTTTTTTAAAGAAAGATATCACAAACCCGATATCTTCGAATGCTCAATATGAAATGACCATTAGTTAAACATTATTATGCCAGCTAAACTTTCATGTTAGAGAAAAAAAGAAGCAGGAGAACAAACCCAACCAAGAGAAAGAAAGAACTCCAAAAGTATTCTTTTTTTCAAAGAAAATGGAAAAAAACGAGATTGAAAAAAGGCGTCGACATACAAATGTTCAATCATCAGTTTAATCAAACTTTTATTTATTTTACTTTTCAGTTCATATGGTAAGGATTAGAAAAATAAACGCATTACTTAGTCGGCCTAAGCAGCAAGAAACAAATTTTCCATCAGGGAAAAATACTTAAATTGCAACACTTTGCAGTTAGTTGAAGATTAATTAATGCTCTTCTACATTCATTCGTTATTGGCCATGATAATTGATTGCAAAATCCTAATATTCAGAAATTACAACAAAATACAGTTAATCCCATACAAACAAATGAACCAAAATGTACAGAAATTTAATAAAAACACATGCTTACAGGGATGAAGCAGTCGAAGAGGCAGTTAAGAAATGTGTTTGGTTTCACATGATCACGTCTGATATCCTTTGAGAATTAGCTAACAATGACCCTTCTTTGCATTTGTTCACACAAAATCTAACAGGGCAAAAATCTTCCTTCTCGGCCTGCAATACCAGAACCAATGTCACCAGTCAGATGCCAATGACAAGCTTGACAAACCCACTATATTGTTTGCAGATAAAGTTTCCCTCAATTTAGACACGTGAAAGGAAAAATGAATCATGAATCCAATATCAATAATGCTACTTGTACCCCTTGGTGTACTACTTGGTTTACATCCAAGCTTAATGAACAATTTACTAAATTGTTCATTAAGGATAAATAGGTATATGTACCCCTTGGATGTAAACCAAGTGATATACCAAGGGGTACATGTAGCATTGTCCATCAAATATATATCCTTTTGTTTGCCCTATGTAGTGTTTGAATGAGTTTATTTGATAGGACTCGTGATTCATTATACAAAATATATATTAAATGAAAGTAGGTATGCACAATGACTTATTGTGACAAAAGAATGTTTATTGCATTATTATATTATAAAAGTTGAGGCATTTTTTTTTTATACTGATATCTTCATCCTTACTTTTAACGCATTAAGTGATTCGAAAAAAAACATATAACATTTTCTTTAGGACACGATATTTATGAAAATCATGTAACATATTTTGTACTTTATACATGGTAATTATATTGATTTACATCAAAACAATGCTCTATGAAGAAAATAATTGCATCTGCAATATTGTCTAAATTGTTAATTAAACGTAAGATAACTCCCTACGTATTAGAATTATAAGGAACAAAGAATAAAATAATATGGTTAAAAGATATTAATATAAGAGAGCCATTTTGTAATTATTGCAATAAACTAACCACATATGAAAGATGATAAAATCTCATAATAGTCACAGGAAATGCATCTAGTCAACCCAACCTTTTTAGTGGTATAGCAGCTATGAAGCTTTTGAATATACTGTGAGTCCGAACAATCCTGCAAAATGATTTCCCGTCATTCATATATTTGCAAATTACTAAACATCAAAATTAAATATAGCAGTTTCCACAAGTTAC